CATTCTTCTAATTTTTTTTATTCGCGCTCTACGTTCATACTTTGTTCTTGTTGATAAAATTTCGATGTACATGAGATGTAAAGCATTGTTTGTAAACATTGGCAATTGCTATCCTTGATACTAGATCAAGAAACACATAATCATATAGAAATTATGCACAAGTACAAGCATACATACACTAATTAAGGTATTTAAAAAAAATTGTATACATCTTCCGCAGATCGAAATTGACTTGGGAAAGCAAAGTCGTTATCATTCAGTCTTTGCTTGTCCCATTCTTAGGCAACAAAGCACAGAGAACAATCCGCCGATGAAGTTAGTTTGTGGTCACGTCATTTCCCGAGACGCATTGAACAAACTCACTAGCGCGAATAAGTAAGTCTTTCATGTGCGGCGGAGTTAAGGTACACCAGCACTAAAGTCACTTTTTAAAAGAAATCAATTTGTTTCCAGGTTGAAATGCCCTTACTGTCCAGTGGAACAGAATCCCGAAGATGCAAGACTTATTTACTTTTAAGCTGTGATATATCACGTACGCATATAGTAATATATACATATATATATATGTGTGTATAGAAATTATACACATGTAAGAAAATAAGAAAATTAGTTTTGCAGTTTCTTTGTAATGGATTATATTGAATGGAAAAGAATAATACACATAATTATATGCAATGATCGAAGAATTGTCAAAATTCATATTACACATTTGTCGTCAAGAATTTGATTGTGCAATAATATTTTTGTTTATTACGTTGTTTTTAACAAGTTACATTTAAAATTGTTAATTGCATCACTTTAAAGCTCGTCTCAGATTTGTAATTCACGCCAGAATTCTAAATAAAATCTACTTATAATTTTACGTGACGGAAAATTGAAAATTGAAAAATTGGAAAATTAAAATATATGTATATTAATATATAATTTAAATATATATATATATTCTAATTTTTCAAATGTCCGTATTACAGAGGGGAAGTACATATAAAATTATAAATAGAATTCTATTCCGAATTTGGTCACAAATCCTCCAAATACAATTCTTTCTTTTCTTAATTGGTCCCAACTTTTAAAATTAAAAAAAAAAATAAAGGAACTGTGATAGCTTTATTGTTTTTGGGATAGTTGTAATTATGAAGTTATATAGTTAGTAGACGATTTATATATTTACCCTAGATTTATTAATGACTTCAGCTTTGTTGTATGCTTGAGTGACAACTTGGGAGCCATGAATCTGTACGCGTAACACACCTAACATGTTTGTTACAAGAACTTCGTATATTTCCTTGTTTATTTTAATTATATGTACTAGCTTGATTATATAAGATAAATGATCATTTTATATATATATGTATATGTTTCTATACATCTATTTCATATTTCCTAACATTAAAATTTATGATATTTGACAATTCTGATGAAAAAATATAGAAAGAGAGAAAAAATATATTAAAATAAAAATAAAAAGTGATATTGAAATCCTGTGTAATAATTAATTGAAATTTGAAAGAAGTAGAAAAAGAGGAAATTTTTAATTAATTAGTACCTCCATGCATGTAATGATTAAAATCGATCAAACAAAAGTACGAGAATGCGCATTACAGTGACGAGACGATAACCATATCATTCATTCGACTTCGGGAACTTTATTTGTTTACTGAACTCGGATTGGAGAAACGTGGAGAAAATATTTCCGGCTCCTTGTTTTTTTATTGTAAAAAAGTTACATAATTTACGTATAGTTTTTCAAATATAACTTTAATAAATAGAATCTTTGGTAACATGAGCAATTCTACAGGTAAGCTGCTATATATTTTTGTCAGTTTATTTTGATTAAAAAAATAAAAGCAAATAGTATAAGATAAAAATATACACGAAAAAATTGATTTATAAAATAAATTCTGTTCGTCACAAGCGAAATCTACATCGGCGTTTTTACCGCCGCTACAATCGGCGAGGCGCCGAATTGATAGCAAAAATGAGTTTATTCGCGATGAGAAAAATGATCCCGTCAAAGCTTTGCCTCGTATGATCGGTCAATTATGCATTGACGAAAGTGCGAAACAAAATGTTGCCGATAAATTGATTCAAGAAGGAATCACGAAGAGTGATTTAAAAAAATGGACGCCTTTATACGCGCGCGCGCGCGACATGGATGGAATATCTTCCGAGAAACTACAAACTTTTCTACGTAGAATCACAGAAAACACGCAGCAGCCGTTCTCATTTCTAGCGAATATCTCCAAAGAATTCGCTAATGACAATCGCTCATCGATAAATGCAAAAAAGCCTACAGAAATCGACGTAAGTGATCAGACTTATTGAAAATCATATATAGAATCGAGTTTTTAAATAAAATTTTACGTAACATTATGTGTTTAGGCTTATCAATTTCAACAAATTTATTTTTAATTATCCGCTGGTTTAGATACAACTAGCCGCAGTAGCGAAGCGTATTGAATCGAACAAAGTTTTATTAGAAGAAGCCAAGTCTCGTGCCAAAGACATACATCTTCGTGCTAAGCAAGACTGCATCCGACTGTCGTCTGAAACGCATGATGATATTTCTATTTCCGTGAAAAATGTGAAATCTGATAACACTGTGAAGAATTAATTAACTGGAAGATCAAATAATTCAATCGCAAAATAATATTTTACTACAAGTCTCACATATAATTAAATTATATTAATTGTACAATCAAATTATTTTGCGTTTACTACATCCAGATTTTGTTTTCATTTTGCAAAGATAAAAAGTAAAAAAGTATATAACAATTATTTATATTGCACACTATTGAACGAGTATTGCAAAATACACGTTTGTAGAAAAACTCCGGACAGCGAGCCAAAATTTATACGAATCTGAATACGATTGTGCCTACAGAAATTGTTTACGTTTTCGTCTCCTCTCGCTTAAATCGAGAGGATAAAATTTCTGGAGCCATGTTGACTTCGTTGTCGATTTTTCCATACGCACACCAATCGTTGCTGAAATTTGTTTCGACGACTTTAAATTGTTCCACGTTGAATTGTTCATTGCAGCCGCGTTGCATGTCACCGTGATCGTTCTCATCGCTGGACCATTGCGACGCGATCTCTTTAAACGGCTGCAGCAGTTCGCGCTTCGGCGTATATTTTCCATTTCCTCGTTGCAGAGACGTTCGACCTCCGACAATTTCTGCTTGTAAGCGTCGGCGAGTGCACGCTTGTACAAATTGTAACGTTGCTCGGCTTGCTCCAAAGAATGCGGATCTTGATACTTGGCGAGATTTTTCTCGTACTCGAGTATCGCGAGATCCGTGATGTTATGCTCCGATGTAGTGTCCACAATGCTACCTACGCGAGTTCGCCACGAGTGATTGCATATTCTTTCAATCCTTTAAATTCTTATAACTTTCTAAAATTTACTTCAATTGATAACGATTTGGAATTTCCCAAAACGAAGTCTGATTCGCCGATGTTTTGCGAGACCGGGCGAAAGAATAAATCGACAAATGTAAAAGCGTTACTAATTAAGAAACTGACACATTAATGATTATTACTTAAATCATTTGAAAGCGGTGACTCGATGGCATAAGCTGCGGCTGCAGCTCTCGCCGCTGCAGTTGCCTCCTCGAATGCGAGGACATCGTTTCTTTCACGTAAAAGCTGAAACTCCTCCTTCTCTTTTTTCCAAAGAGCCAACTCTTTGTTCAGTTTTTCCCGAAGACCCGTCATCTCTGAGCAGAGTTTCCGAGCGCGTTCGTGAAGAATAGCTCTGTGAAATAATAATTTTACATGAAAATTGCGAAGAAAGTTTAACAACTAAAATTCCGGTATCGCATTTTGCATTTTCGCTTGAATATTTTTAGTCCGCAAGTTTTTTTCCATATTGACAAAACGCGACTTTAGCTAAGAAAAAGTCGATTGTAATTTATAAAAAAAATCGAAAATATTCTTTCCGATATTTAAATTTTTATAGCAGAAATACAATACGCAGACTCTTTTTCACGATCGATGGACGAGTCTAGATCTGTCACAAGTTGAAATTGGTTTTCCAGACGTCTAGATGCGTCGTCCTCATCCGACGTCTGGATGCAAATCATGGATATATTCTCATGATCGATCAGGTTTTGTACACTTTCTTCGTTTTGCACATTACTGCATTTTTCCGAGTAACATTTGAGAATTTTGCTATTTGGCGACTCTGAATATCGAGGCGAATCGTTCGTGGCGACAAGCATTTCTTCAGCCGAAGGGATACACTTGTCGTCCATCGCCGTTATATTTTCCGTAATATTTGTCTTTAGAATTGAATAGAGAATCCGACGAGAGATATCACAGATGAATAAAAAATCTTGGTAGAAACTGATATCAGGGATAAATTGCATAGATCCTGTTTTGTCTTCGAGAAGTAAAATATGTATATATAATATAAATGCGATTTTTTTTCTGCGATCGGCAATGCTTTTGATTGAACTAAATTAACTTATAAATAAAAATTCATTAAAATGTAGAAAATGCATTGTATTTATATATTGCATGACGTATATATTTATCTATGTAACGTAAAAATAATTTTTACAATGTAACAACAAAAAATTTGCACATTTAGCAGTATCTGCATTATTTCTACTTTGACCGTGAAATCACTAATACGTGTTATCGATTAATTCTTAAGCACTCATGTGGCGAGTAATTCTCTCTTTCAAGTCCGAGAGAGACAGGTTTCTTATCAGGTAAAAATTGAAGAATTTTCTTAAAAATTCTCTTCGGATCACACGAGACTAGCTCTATCAACAATCTTCTTCACAAGAAAACAAAAAACTAAATAAAATACCAATCGAGTCACATTTGATACCACACAAGTATTTAAGGATTGATCTTTCACATTAATAATACATTTTGTACCAATTAATCAATAATAATTGCAACGATAAATTGACAACACTTTGTGCTATTCACAGCGTCGATCCTAAGCGCTTGCTTTAAAGAAATTGACAAAGCAACGCGGAGAGACAGATCGACGTAGTTGAGCCGTTGAAGTCTTGGCGAATGTCGTATGTACACAATGACCGTTCGAGGTGTCATAAAAACATGTGGGAAAAAAATTTGTAACATGTCCATCCTCACGACAGTACGCCCATTCGATTAGCCTGCTATTTCTTGGGTCGACACGCGGAGAAATTGCAATGTTTTATTGTACTTAATTAAAGAAACGGCCTAAATTATATGATCTGCCTGATTTGTGATATTTATATACAAAATTCTCGATCTGACTGCGTAGCAGGCCGACGAAATATCATAGCCTATCGCTGATCATCATCGAAATTATGACATAGATTCTAATCGATCTTAGTGACCACACTAAGCGTTTCTAAACCTATAAAATAAGTATAATACTCTTGTATTAAGATCGACTAGAATCTAAATATTCAGAAACATTTACATCATGTACAAGATACTCATGGAGAAGTCCCCGAGTCAGTCACACCGGTAGCGCGAAGAGCGACCGAAAAAAAATAAAAGAAGAGTAGTTTCTTTACGTCGTTTGCACCTAACCGACGCGCGTGGCGCGCGTATTTTAATTATCGATCATTCGCGAACGTTCAACGTTTTATTTCTTGTATAATAAGACTAGTATGACAATGTTGACACGAGCAGATAAACCCTTAGGCGGTAGATCAAACGTAGATGAAGAACGACCAGTGTCCGTTTAGAGGCCCAAACGCTTGAGATTCGTTCGCACCACTGTCTGACCGATCCCCTTGGCCTTGTCTCCCTGCCAGCTCTTGCTCTTGCTGCGGAAGAACTTGAACTCGTCCTCGTGATCGGGATGCCTCATCGGCTTGTAATTCTGCGGCAAGCAGAAGTCCTTCTGCTCGCTGTAAAACTTCTCGTAGCCGCCGTGCAGCAGGTAGATCTCCGGATAGTGCAGCGCCGGGTAATACTCTTTGTTGCGCTCGCGATCGAGTCTGCGCAGGAACCGCGACAGACTCGGACCGCGCTCCCAAGAGAACTCGCAGTGGAACACGAGCACGTTGCGTTTGGTGACGTCCGGCAGGATTTTCGGGACAGCGGTGGTCAGCGGCTCGAGTAGGGTCCGCTCGATGAGATCCATGTTGTAGAGATTCAGCGCCCCCGCGATGTGACCGCCCTCGTACTCGTACGGATATCGGCAGTCGATGATCCTGTAAGAGTGGACGCGGTCGTCGAACTCGCCGCGCAACAACGCCGCGAGCGTGTCGGACGTTATGACCTTGAGGTCCGGATGGTGACCGATCGTGATCGGCAGCGAGCACGGCTTGCTGAAGTCGCCGATGAGATCGGAGTCCGTTGCGCTGCGGTGAATCGCCCACTTGATGTTCGCGTGCGTCTCAGTTTCCGACAGGCTTCGCTGCAAAACGATCTTCGAGCGCGCCAACGCGTTCGTGTTCGCCGACGTCGGCGACGTGCGCGCCAACGCGTTCAAATAGAAATTGTTGCGCGACTTCTTCAGTATCGACTCGTCCGCTGGCATCTCGTCCGACGTCCGTTTGTAGGCTCTAGTCGTCTGCGGCGAGATATCCGCCTCGAGGCGGTAACCCATCGGCGATTTCTCGTCGTAACTGTACCTCCTCGTTATTGTCCTCGGCGAGCAGGTCGTCGTCGGCGAGCGAAACAGGCAGGTGCGGATCTTCGACAGCGACGGCGTGTTGTTCAGCCACTTGACTTTAGCCTGAAAGTCCGATCGGGAGTAACTGGGGGTCGTCGAGACGTCGCAGTCCATCGACGTCTCCGGCGCGACGATGTCGCCGGACAGCAGCTTGGAGATGTCGGTCGGCAGCTGCGGTTTGTCGTCTACGGATTCCATGTCGATGAGCTCGTTCATCAAGTCGTTCACATCGTCCATACTTTCATATCCCGATGACAGGCTGCGCATGAAGTTTATTTTCTGGGACTTTAGACCGGAGGGGAAGGCAGCAGGGGAAGTAAGAGGTCGCATCACTAGTTCGGAATTGTGTTGCGAATCCGTGGACATACGTTGGATCGCGGCACCGACGCGAAATGCGCGCCGCTTGTTAAGGATCGGACTTGTTCCGTGGCTATTGTCATAGATGTTGAGCTCGCAGTTCTCCAAAGGACAGCGTACCTTCTTACATCGTGTCTGAAAGGGAGTATTTTCTATTATTTCAAAATTTCGCAACTTTGTTTTATTAATTATAATGTATAATGGAGAGTGACATTAATTCCATTCGAGTATCCGGAGTGTGTCACGTAGAAATAATTATGTCATTACATTAATTCTTTTTTCTAATAGTTTTCGTTTATTTTTTTAAGTATAATTAACGCTTTAAAATAACACGACGCTTACTAAAGACAACATTTATTTTCTTTCGGAATAACATTTAGCTAGATGTGGCTTTAAATTATTACTTTTAGCACATTTCTCTTTTATTTTCTCAAAAATTTTAAATGGCATTTTTGACGTCGAATTCCGCACATAAGAAACGACAGAAAATTCCAGACAGCAAAAATTTACAATTTTGCACGTATCGTAAAATAATGAAAAGGAGAACAATGAACACGTCGCACAGCAGGTAGCCGATCGAGTCACCGGTAACACAATCGGACACACACAAGGTGTCGCATGTATTGTGAAAAAATCAAAGATCTTTGCGAGGGGAGATAAATTTTTTCTCGTAATAAAATGCACCGCAAACCGCTATCTGCGATCGAATATTTAATGTAAATCGTCGCCGTTAAAATCAATGTATCTTGTCGTGATAAGCGACAGCTGCACACGCGTGCCGGATCTGTTGTTTGGCCTAATCGCGGAAAAGACGTTATCTAGCTCGAAATGCGCGTACAATATCCGGAATTGAATATGTATGGAACGCGTAGAAATCTCGCCCGATCACGCAGTCACGGATGTCCGTAATCAAGGAAGAAATATTGAAGCTAGATATCGATCGTTTGATATCACGAGTTAATTTTTGTAATTTTTTAAATCTGTTTTTTGTTGTTAGATTTTCTATGCTTTACATTGAAAAAAAATTGCAACTAAGCTTGCTTATTTTTAAAAAATATAATGCCTGTATATTTTATCGAAGAACAAATATATTATATATTATCTTATTTTTCTCTAATCTTAATAGGGCTTTAAAAAAAAGTTGTGTGCAACATTTGAAAGTTTACTTCACAATAAAATGGAAATTATTATCTTGTTGTAAATAAATTTCTTTAAAATAGTGAGAAATGTATTTTTACCTTCGGAGTAGGAATATACAAGTCGTTGGTTGCACCGTCATTCTCTTTGTCGTGTTCATATTCTCCGAGTAAGGAGTTTCGCAGTACATTATGGTTTAATTCCTTGTTGAAGATGCGTATATTTGAAAAATTCTCTTTTGGCATAGTAATGTCAACTTCCGTCATATCGAGTGCACAAGTAGCCTTTAAAGCAGCATCTGCAAAACTGCAAGCAAATAAATAATAAGCGAATTAGATCTCTATAAAATAATAAAATTAATAGCATCGGATATTGAAAAAAATAAAAATATATACATATTTGATTTAATCTTCTAAAATGTTTCCTCATTTCATTAATGGGAAGTCTCACAAGTAAAAAGAATATTAACAATGATTCTGTCCACGAATCATGAATAAAAAAATCGTCTCGATTTTCTTTGGAAAAATCACATAAATACATTTTCAAGAACTAATAAAATTGCACTAATATAATTGCAAATGGACATTTCTTTTTCTTCTTTTTTTTTTTTTTTTTTGTGAATAATTTGTAATCAATTACAATCCATTCGAAATTGTGAGACAAATGTTGATTTGTCAAATTCAATTTATCACTCAACATCATTTGTTGTTCTCAGGAATTTTGGCGCGTAAACGTCAATAACGTTCAGCAGAAACGGAGCGTGTACTTTCAACGTAGACGGCACGTGTAAGCCAGCCAATCAATATAGCGTGAAAGCATGCGTTTGGCGCGCAAATTTATATCAATAAAACCAAGTGATTACTCGTCTTTAAGTACGCTATTTCTTTATAACTTTTAGATCAGTCACGCTAATCAATCACTTCTCAATTCAACACTCTCAGTTAAGCACTTTTTAATTAAACACGCTTCAGTTAAGCTGCTAATAGTCTACGGTACGTTACAAGCAGTTCATAGCATCGTTAATTTATTCATTTTCAAATCATTTATCTGCAATGCTTGTAAGACTGCAGCATTCACTTTAATATTTTTTCACTAATTCGTTCGAACACAATTGTTCAGAATTAATAATGCAATCATAAACTCTATATGATTTCGATACAAGCAAGTGTGCGATCGAGTGGCCAGTTACAATTCAGCCAATTATAACTAATACACATCACTGGATAGCCCATCGGGCATACCTTATCATAGATTCTTCAATGTTACTTTTCAAAGGTGTCTTAGGGTACTCGAGGATCGACTTTGTCAACTTAGCACGAACAACGTCCATGATCGCCAATGACTTCTGACAAGTCGAATTTGTATATTTTCAGTCAAGAGTGATTTTCTTTTTTCTTTCAACGACGAACGAACGACCGACGAGGCTCCCATGCAGACTAGCACATCGTCCGAACGCGCAATACGGACTGCTTGAGTCGCCTGCTAACGTGGATCTTATACGGATCGTAGTCGGACGGCAGTAGGGATGCAGGACGATAGTGGGAACGCGGTGCGTTGGTGAGGGTTACACTCGGCCAATGGCAGGAGTGAAAGGGCTCGCTTGAATTTAAGGGCAGAGTGTGGTGGGCAACCTATTTAGAGGGACGACCGCTATGGGGGGCCGCTCGTATGCACTGGAACTTCCGTGCGCAAGTGCACATATGTGCAGATCATCTACACGTGTACGTTGGGGACTCGAGCCTCGTTGATCGCGCGCCCTCGTTTCCTCTAGTGGCTTTCGCGTCGGTCTTTTTTCCCCCTCGCGCGAAAGAGCACCGACTCGATCCTCGCCGTCTTTAATCAGTAATGTTGTAATATATTTCTTTCGGACACGCTATATTCATTAACACCTTGGAGGAGCGGAAACCGATTTTCGTATCTTCGCTTAGCCATCGTTTGCGGACCGGACACACAGATCCCTGTTTTGACGCGGTTTGCTGACAATGCCTTCTTATCTTATCTGCTCCTTAAATGGGAGTGGAAACAGTTTCTCGAATGTATAGTAGGAACTTTATCGCCCACATATGTTTTACGCTAAATTCCACGCGAAAGGCGCCGAGGTATTAATTCTGTATGCTTGTTAATAATTATTTTCAATTATTGTAACTCGTTTTATAAGATGTACACTATTTAATTGTCATAAAAAATATTGTTAAAAAACTTTATTTTCTAAACACTTATTAATCTCAATCAGACAAAGTTCTACGACGACCGTAATTTTGCGTTTAAGAATATTTATTTATATACTATTTTGTGACGTGTTGCAATATATAGTACATCATAAACGTGTGCCGTTCTGCTTGTTAAGAATCTAAAAAGCAGATTATCAAATGCTTCTTATCTTATTATTTCATGATCATTAGCTAATTATCATTATTTTACAGCATTTTATCAAAAGTGTTATATGCACGTCTTGTGCGATCCTATTTTGCTCAACTGCATTTCTGTTAACCTGTAAAATCCAATAAAATGCGAACAAAAGTGCAGGTAAAAGTCTTTCTTCCCAATTTCTGTGGATAAATTTGTAAGCACACCTTTAACTGATTTCACCAACTGAGTTACTAGCAAGAAAAATAATCATCTACCTGCATTTTCTTCACTTTATTTGGATACGTTGCAATTTTTATTATCCCGCAAGAAATTAATCTTTCTAAATCTGTAACCTTTGTGTACGAGAAAAAGCAAAAAGAAAAAAAAATACATGTGGTTTCTACGCATACAGAAAGAAGCCAATCAGTTTTCACTACGTAAGTATTTCGTGCGAACAGTAAGACTGATTGGTCAATTTTTTCCACTAAATGCGAGAAACTGTAAGTCCAGGTATAAACACAGACGACACGAACTTCCGCTGCATACGTGAAGCAGTTGTGTTCGGTGCAAAGGGATGTCTGTGTAAGGGATGGTTTTTGCTATGTAAATGTAGTGATGCCTAGTGAAAAGTGTTATTCATTTTCCAATAAAAAAAATAGAGAAAAAAAGCTGAGATTCTCAATGTTATCTATTTTTTTGGAAAATTGGTTTCTCGATCGTTAAGTTGGTGAAACAAGGTAAATAAAAAATTTTGTTCCGGAAAAACGGGTACCTCAAACACGTGTTTGAGATATTTCTAGAATATGAGTTCAGAAATTTTCCACAAATGCGTGTAGCCAGTATCTGAATCTAAAATATTTTTCGAGTCGAAATTTTGCTGCTACTTTCGATTTCAATCTTTCTATATTCAGCTACTTTAGAGAATTGCAATAGGTTTTTTTCATTAACATAAGAATAAACCTACTTTGTACCTGAACAATTTTTCACCGACACGTTCAAAATAGAAATTATAGGTTAAGTAGAATTGAAAAAAGTTACTTTGAGTGTTAAAATAGACGTTAAAGTTTAAACATATGAAAATTTATATATAATTTGTTAATATTCTTTACGCATAAATTTTTTCCTTTCTTCCTTATATCTTATCAAACTGAAGAGAATCCGAAATAGCGGCCGAAACATCTTACGTGCACTAATTTATAATAATTATATAGTTCTTGTGCTCCTACAATCGCGATTCTCTGTTTTAACTTTGAAAAGCCACACTTTGCAGTATTGAAAATTTCGGTCTGAACTGCAGAAAATTTGCGCGTAAAGGCGCGCGAAGAGGCGCGTGCTAATGTTCGTGAACCTAGCATATCATTTTCCAGCAGATCAAAAATAAAAGAGAGTTCTTGTCGCATGCAGTCGAGTTCTATAGTTCCTTATAGTTTTTAATAATAGTTCTGGTGATTTTATCCAAAAAAACACCAATCGAAAAAATGATCTGCTAACTTCCCGTAGCAGATCATTTTCTAGCAGATCAAAAATAAAAGAGAGTTCTTGTCGCAAGTACATTGCTTTTCAATGTACTCGCCCAGAACTACACGAAAACTCTTTAATTATTAACAGAACTATCAATATACGGCCAGCATATCACACATATGCTCAAAAATGCGTGTTTTTCGGGTAAAATAATTGTTTAAAAAATTTTCTAATTATTTTAGTCGTCAGAACTTTTTGGAAAAGCAATGTACTTGCCCAGAACTACACGAAAACTCTTTAATTATTAACAGAACTATCAATATACGGCCAGCATATCACACATATACTCAAAAATGCGTGTTTTTCGGGTAAAATAATTGTTTAAAAAATTTTCTAATTATTTTAGTCGTCAGAACTTTTTGGAAAAGCAATGTACTCGCCCAGAACTAGAAGAGAACTGTCTAATTTTTAGCAGAACTATCAATATGCGGCCAGCATATCACATATATGTACAAAAATGCGTGTTTTTCGGGTAAAATAATTGTTTAAAAAATTTTCTAATTATTTTAGTCGTCAGAACTTTTTGGAAAAGCAATGTACTTGCCCAGAACTACACGAAAACTCTTTAATTATTAACAGAACTATCAATATACGGCCAGCATATCACATATATATACTCAAAAATGCGTGTTTTTCGGGTAAAATAATTGTTTAAAAAATTTTCTAATTATTTTAGTCGTCAGAACTCTTTGGAAAAGCAATGTACTGGCTCAGAACTACACGAAAACTCTTTAATTATCATACGAGAACTATCAATATACGGCCAGCATATCACATATATGTTCAGTGTCCTCTATTTTTTATCTGCTAACTTTCCGTAGCAGATCATTTTTTTCGATCGGTGTTTTTTTTATAAAATCACCAGAACTATCATTAAAAACTATCAGGAACTATAGAACTCGACTGCATGCGACAAGAACTCTCTCTTATTTTTGATCTGCTAGAAAATGATCTGCTACGGGAAGTTAGCAAATCATTTTTTCGATTGGTGTTTTTTTGGATAAAATCACCAGAACTATTACTAAAAACTATAAGGAACTATAGAACTCGACTGCATGCGACAAGAACTCTCTTTTATTTTTGATCTGCTGGAAAATGATATGCTAGGTTCACGAACATCGCGTGCTAGTGATAGCGCAACCGAATATCGATCGCTAATACGGGTTTAAGGGGGGGACGCGATTGAAAGGTCCGATAGGACACGCGAGCGATACAAACTTCGCCGATCGTTTCTCGATTCGCCTCCCTCCCCGTCGCTTGATGTTGGCGCCGACGAATTCAACGTACTTATTGACTTATATCCTCAGGTCGGAATCAGCTGTCGCCTGACTTTATCGTAGCCCTACGTGAATTCCTTTGAGGTGAGCACGAAGGGTGGTTTCTTCGCACATACGATTGTTCCAGTCGCAAAAGGAAGAGAGAGAGAGAATCGAACT